TCTCTCTCTCTGTCCTTCACTCGCTTTCATTTCTCCCTGCAATCCGTCTATTTTCCCTCACTCTACAATCACAGTCCTCACCGTTTTCCCCTCACCGCTTCAGTAAGTGTTACGGACGGCTGGAACGAAGGGTACAAGAAGAAAAGCAGTAAGGCCTGTTGTGAAACGGCCATGGGATCAATGGGGGATTTAAGGAGGCAGAACACGTAGCCGCAGCTGGTCAATTAGAGAAAGGACAGCACAAGAACACACACACACACACACACACACACACAAAGTGGCTGGCCTTTAAAGACAGAGTTACTTTTTGCCTCTCGTCAGCTCCTTTTCTCCGGCTTTAAATGGATCAGCATCAGGGAATCTTGGCTGAGATGATACAGTTGGTTGTGGTGTGGACGGAGTCGAATTGACTGCGATAACAAATGGCTGGAGAGATACTGTATATACAAGAAAGACTGATGGCAAATGTTCCTCCTCCGTTAATGAAGTGTGGAGTTAAGTGCTGAGATACATTGTGTCACACGTACTCAAATACAACATGGACCACAAGGAGAAGTCAAACAATGCTTTGTGTCAGTGTTGTACTCTACAAGCGCTCAGTGTGAGAACGACACTTCCCATTATTAAATTAAAAAAAGAACTCAAAAGAGGAGTGTGTGAAAACTTAATGAGGCTTATTAAAAGTAATTAAAAAATATTGTGCAATTAAGTATGACAGAGTTAGTCACTGATGTCAAAATATGCGCTTCTTGCAAGTCGAACCAGGTTATTACCTCCGTCAAAGAAGCTACGTCTTCATTGACATCTTGTTTGCCTCTGTCTTCCAGCAGGATTACACACAAAAACTGATTTACATAACATTTTGTAAAGATGTGGGGCAAGACTCAACTAAGGATTTTTGGAGTGGATCAGGAGTATTTTTTTGACGGAGTTACCCTTGGCAGAGGCATGCGCTCTCTGAATGCCCTTCTAGTTTGAGTTGAGAATGGGAGACGGCTGATGGCTCTGTCCCGCGAACCCTTTATCTTATCGGCCTCACACTTGGCATCTGTATTGTTTAGTGCACTGGGAAGACCGGTGTTGGATTTGGTGTGATTTGGCCACACAACAAATTCAATATTAATAATGTTTGAATAAACAGGCGACCAGTGGGACACATCAACCAAAGACACGTCATCGATCACGACAATGACAAAACAACCGATTCTATAATTCAGGGTTTTGCAGACTGGGTCGAGCTTCACTGAACTATGAATAAACAGGTGAATGGCTCTTTGTGCAGCAGCAGTGGCTCCAGGGTTCTGCAGACTGAGTCCAGGTCTTCACTCCTCACGGCTCAATTACTGCACAGCACTGTTACAGTTTCAGAAAAAAAACTGCAAAGACGTGAAGCAAACGACCCATTTCATACAGGCGGGTTTAAAGCAGGCACTGCACTAGTTACAATGAAATAGAACAACAATGATAATGATAAACACCTTGTAATTCCCTGTGAATATAAAGCACACTCAGCACAGCAATGATAAACCCTCACATCTTGTTGTGTACATTCTCTTGTCGTCAGTCCTTGAAGTGGAAATGTCACACACTCTAGAAGTTGCCTTTACAAGGTGTTCTGGACGCCACTATAGTGCACAATTTCTGCTTTGCTCATGATGTTCAGTCTTGCAATAAAGAACTGAGCTTGCAGGATGCACAGTGGCTCGGCTTTGGGAGGCAACACTCCCTTGTTTGGCAGGCGTTAAACCGAGCGCCACACAAGCCGACAGGGGCCCAATTATGTTGGTCCCAGTGATCAACGCGTGTGAGGAGACATCAAAGTGCACCTGCAGCATTTCAAAGTGCACAGATTCATGGCCACAATACTGGAATCGCAACTGTCCCTCATGTATTCATTTCTCTCCATTCCCCTCTGCTTAGCATTTGTCTTGGACGTTCGCACAATAAGACTTTGCTAATGCGGAATAGTGTAATAATAAGTCAATAAACAGGTTCATTACCTGCACTAAAGTTCCAATTAAGCAGGGGAGCACGTCATGAGGGGGGACGAGAGACATCACACTGACAGTTGTTGCTTTCCCCTTTACCGTTTTTCTTGCCCTTTATTATCAACCCTCTTCCACACTCCTGTTTCTATTGACAACAGGCTGTGCTTGAAGAATAACAGCAAAGCCTTGACTTGATTATCTGTAATGAAAACACTACACTCACTCCTCTCTTCCCGCCTCATACACAGCAGCAGACTCGCTCTCGCTCGCTCGAAAATTCTTGAATTGACTGCTTTGAAATCATTGTTCCCATCTTGTGTTTATTCCAAAAAATTCCTGATAGATAAAGAAAAGATAATACGGGAAAATATGCAGAGAGTGGAACATGTAGAAACGTGCATGTTTGCAGCAGATAGACAGAAAACTACAGCTATGAGATGAAATCAACACAAAGTCGACTATATTCTAAACGTTCAGCATCTATTCACATCCCCTTTTCCAGCTGAATGGGAAATTACAGAGAAATATAAGGAGCACTTCCAATCAAATATCCTGTTACAGATTACACAGAGCATTCATCACTGACAGCGTCCTTCAACCAAACCCCCCAGGGGGGGAGTGGGATCTACACGGGGGAAACATGGAGCAGCTACCTCTGTGCCTCTGTGAAGTTGTGTGATCACCTGGAAACCTCAGCTGCGACAGGTGATGGTGCATCGATACATTTAAAACTCTGCAACCAATACTTCTCACACTTGTGCTAATCCAACCACTGCTCCCAGTCACATGTGTGGTTTTGCATTCTGCCCATGTTCTTTTTCAGCTCTGGTCTGATTGGCAAAGATATAAAACCAATAAACATCCAGAATGCTACGTTCAGCTGCTGATATTGACTCCTTCTTTTGATTACTCGTGGTACTTAGACCTTTTCATCACTACATTGTTTACGCAGCAGACGTTTGTTCATGCAACTCTGCAGCAGGTGGCAATGTTCCCTAACCAAGGTCAGTAGAAAAATAAAAAAATCTGTTGTAGTTTGCAATGGTTTGCATCTCGAACATTTTGTAGTTATTGGATTTGTTTTGGTGTCAGCTCTAAAAAAACTAGAATCGATCAGGCTGTAAAAACTTTTGATGGAGTTACAAGAAAATCTAGAAAGAAGCAGAGAGATGAAAATGAAAGTACATATAGCAAGAACGGTGTATTAAGAGAAGCTGTTCTCTCTCTCTCACACAGCGTATCAACAACGAGGTAGTTTTTACTTTCAAGGTTACACTATACAGCCTTTCCTTTTTCCTAACCCTCATGTTAACACTTATTTTCTCCAACAAGAAGTAAATTCAACCGAACCTAAATTCCATATAATCCACAGGAAGATAACGCAGCACAGATTGTGTATTAATTTTGCTCTGGGGAACTAGATGGACGTAATCTTTGAATGTTCCCACAGTGAAATATGCATGAATGTGTCATATCATTCAATGGGCATGACTCTGCAGAGCAAAGTTTCTGCAGCAGTTACGGGTCAATGCATGGCGGTGCAGTGCCCCCTGCTGACGATTGGGAATATTTCACCTTTGACTGCTCCTGAAAAGTCCAACCCTGAAGAAAACACTTGATGGAATGAATATAATAGACAATCACTGGAAAGACCAGGTTTTCAATATAAAAGGTACAAAATCTAAAATCAACCTTGAACCAGAACTATATTTAATCATAAATCAAACATGGTTATCATGGGCTTGTTTCCTTCTTTGGTTACCATGACTTTTGTTTACTCAGACACTGGGTTTTGTTCATGAAACCATGAATAACCAGACGCTTGAACGCAGACAGAACTGCAAACAACAGACCACATTAACATAGTATAACACCTGTAGCTCAGAATGGCAGCCACTCACAATCACTGTCATAATACTGCAATATGTAAACTATACACAACATGGTTACGTTTATCGATAAAGCTCATCTCAAATGCTTACAATGAATGAGATAGAGAAATTAAAACATATTGTTTAATATGTGTGATCACCACCACTGCTAATTCCTGCGGCTCAAGAATCAACAACACTTGATCAAAGATTTATCTTAACAAATGTAACACTGGTTTGAAGCTGTGTTTTAGATTTAGGTCGATCAACTTTGATTTAAACGGGGACAACTGATGTCGTGGAAATGTTTTCTACAGTCGCTATAGCACGACTACAACGAGAATCATTTTCTTCAACATGGACCTCCTCTTTGGTGTCTCGACCTCTCTCCAGTACTTGTGACGGTCCACACAATTACCTTCAATTATCCTCAATTCCACCTCACCAATTATATCCCTTATTGATTCCGGACCTCCAGACTGGAACCTTATCTCTAGCCGACCACAGACCATGGATGAGAAAAGTAGAAGAGGGGGCAAATAAATGGAGCTTGATTCATTTGCCTCTCCCTCCATCATCATGTCTGACTATCAGAAACTGTGTTTTTCTGCAGTGCATATACACAATCTGAACCCTGGACATATTACGTACAAATAATTGCCAAAATCTACAAAGAATGTTCAACAAATTCCACAACAAGAGAACTCACACGTTTGTTCATGTGACATTGATAATAAATTAAAAGCACATCCTGTCTGCAGATTTCAGTGAGACAGAGAGGAATGAAGGTCAGTCACACAGTATGGAAGCTGTAAAATGTGGAGTCACACACAGCGGCTATCCTGCCAGATTTTTTGAATATGATACTCGCTGACATTTAGTGAAACACAAACATAAGCTGCTGTCACCACAGACTAATGTAAAACATCCATCATCTTGAATGCACGCCAGGGCACCTACAGAGAGGCGCATCAATGAGGCCTCACTGCCATCTCCTGTTACTGCATCTCAACCTCAGAGGCTGAGCTGCGAGAGGGATCTGTGAGGCAATGCTGCCCTCCTGAGGGGTGTTTGGATCATGGCTGTCTGCTCTGTGATGTTTGTCTCACATTAACGAGGAACGCAGTGATCAGAAACATACCTTGTTATCCCGTCAGTCAGCTTTTTCAGGACGGACGTCGTCTTATCGGTTCAGAAGCAGAAGTTTGGCCCCACAGCTTGTGTCCTTTTAAACCTGAGGTGAAGTAACAGTGAAGTATTATTAGTAGAGGTCTGTACTAAAACAATATTTTCTTTAATAGCAATATCACAAAAGTTCAGCATATACATATACTGATGTGTTGCATATGCATTGTGCAAACACAGTGAGGGAGTATAATACATATTTAATTTACCTCAGATTTATAAAATATTTTTAAGTGTTTATCATTCTCTGCACACAAAGAGTTTAAAACCACAACCTTAACTTAGGAGCAAACAAAAAATACTAAGTCGACAAGACTTGCGCAGTTTACTTAAGATGTTTATTGTTGTTGTTTTATCTAATTTCAGAGTATTACTTTCAGATAAGGGTTTCTCTCATAACTTTATCTCATATACAATATTTAAGTAAGTAGGTTTAAGTTATAAAGCACCTTTCAAAACCAAAGTTACAAGGTGCTGCACAAAACAAACATTAAGATAAAAACAGGAAACAACAGAGTTAAACACAAACAATAGAATAATAAAAACTACACAGAGGGCGAGAAAAACAATAGAACCATAAGGACTAGACCAAGTTAGGAGTATATTTACAAAATAGATGAGTTTTTAAACAACCTCTTAAAACGAATACAGAATATTTAAGACACACCAGAGACCAAAATCCTAACCAGCTCTTACTGACTGTATCTGAGGACATGCTCGATAACTCCATACATTGATTGTGATAATTATTACTCTATGAAAACTTTTATCTTGATATAATTGTGTCTCTGGCTAACTATTAGCTTTAAATGTATATATCTGCCAACACCGCAAACCAAACTGACCGGTGTCTCCAATAAACCTAATAATTTATGCATTAACTGTTAATATGAGTTCTAAACACATTTCATTGAGTGAGTGTGAAATGCTGAACATTTCCCTGGTGAAACAACACGGATGTGTTGAGTTGGACTGAAAATTACCTGCAGCCGCGTGAGAAGAGGAAAAAGAATTCCACCATTAAAAATCAAAATTTCATGTGTCAAAACCAAATTGAGCTTCGAATCCAACGAGAGCTTCGTTTAACCAGAATTAAAAAGTGTTAAATTAAAAGTAGTTCAGTGACGAGCGACCGTCGCTTCCTGAACCACACAGCTGGGCCTGAGTGGAGACGCGTTCAAAGTTTGTTTGGGTCCAAAACTTTCTGTTGTTTTGTTCACGACAGGACGTTTCATCAACATTCGACAGTTTACTTGATGTAGTTTGTTTGTTTGTTTGTTTTCTGGTTTGTTCTGTGCATTATTTAGCTTTTAGCACAGAGGACAGGAGGACGTGAGGACACGGGGACATGAGTTGATCAGCTGAGCAGCAACACGAGGGTCTGCAGAAAGGGGGCGTGGTTTCACAGCTATAATGTGGCGTTCAGGGAAGACCGGAACTATCACGATAGTATGATATATGATTGTGAATGAACCGATCTGAATTCAATAGAAAAGAACATTAGAGGTGATTTGAAAGATAAATCTCATAATAAAGTGAGTCGTGAATTACATAAAGTGAGTTTGTAGTATTTGCATTATTATTATCTTTAATGTTTTTAATGCATTCCACAAAACACTTGATTATCTATCTCTGTATTTATCTATCTATCTATTTATCAATCTATTTATCTATATATATATATATATATCTGTATTTATATTTATTTATTTATCTATCTATCTTTATGTATCCATCTATTTATCTTTCTATCTGTCTATTTATTTATTTATTTATCGATCTATATGTATGTATCTATCTCTCTTTTTATCTGTCTATATCTCCATTTATCTATCTATCTACTGTTTTGCCCAGTCCGACCCAGTGGTCAGTCGTTATCATACAATCATTGGAGTCCTCTTGATTAAATAAAACCCATAAGAGTATTTTTGTTGCAGGACTGTGGAAGTGGTTGTGCGTAAAATCCAAATGCACCACAAATAGTATGACTGAGGCTACAGACAGAGTGTGGAGGGGCCCGTGAATGCAGCACTAGTGCAGATCAGTGTTGTGTGCGCGGAGCTGCGTGTGTGTGTACGTGTGTGTGTGTGTCTGCGTGTGTTTGCTGCTGGCTCCCCTCTGTCCTCCATTACAGCTCGGATCCATCCCCGCTGTACGGCGCAGGCCCGAAGTAGCGCAGCCGCTCTGAGGTTAGTGCCCTACCGCGCAATCTCCATGTATTTCAGCCCCGGCGCAGCCGCATCATCGAACCCGGCAGCGTCTGGGCGAAAGATGCGGAGTGTTTGGATGTTGACTGGAGCTGGGTTGCGATGCATGTGTGTTTGTTTTTCACCGGAGATGGATGGTGTTGTAGGCGCGTATCGACATAAAGCTCACATAGTCAAGAGTCGCTATGGATGAGCCGCAGGCCGCTGGGCCTCTGTTTTGTTTTATATTGCGCGGGGGTCGTGTTGGATGCCGCGCTCACAACATTTACCTTCCTCTTCCCTGGATTCATTTACACTCAGTGTCCGATCACCACCGAACCACTGTTCCCCTCGACCACAGCCTTTGTTCATTCAGATGACCGAGACCACACCGACAAATGCTTAGCTAGCAGGCTAATTAGCCGAATGTAGGACGTTGCTAGCTTAGCTCGTCGTTGTCAGACAGCCGGCAGGTTAACATCAGACTGTAACGCTGCAGTAATAGCGTTATGTGTTTAACTCAAGATATCCCTTCTCTACATGTACGACTGAAATCAGCCTTATTTGTGTGTGTGAATAAGGATCTTACGTGTAAATGTACGTGCATCAGTGATCCTGTCAGTAGCCGCAGTTCATGGTTTCCTCACAGGCGAGATTACATGTAAACAAACTCTTGATTGTTCTCATGACAGATGTGTGACTCCAGATGTGTTGTCGTGGTTTTATATTCGTTCACTGTCTCTAAATGATATCTACCTGCCAAAACACACAGTTGTATTAATCAGCTGCCCACTATGAATGAACAGTGTATTAAACTGCTTCATTCCATGTAAGCAGCCTGTCTCCAGTCACCAGACATCAACTGAGTCATTCATTTATATATTATTATGTGTAGATGATCATATTGTATGTTTGATTTCCCCCTGACACTGTAACATGGATCCATTACACACACACACACCTGTATAATACCAGTTAATATGCAAACACCAATACTACTGTTTCACACTGTAAAGGCTTGAATCGTATATTTTTTACCATCACCAGTCACTGCAGGATTTCAGAGATTTAACACATAATAAATGGTATTGGGAAAACATTGCTTTCTTGCTTCAATTGAGATTTTGAAGCCGTCCTTGTAGCAGTGGTGCAGTTGGTGCACTCAGACAAGACAAATAAAACAGCTGCAGGCTTTTTCTACAAATACTGATACAGAGATTTGAAAAATATTTTCCACAGCTTTATAATAACCTACCCAACAGTATGTTTGATTATTTTTTAATTTGTTTTCATACCACTCTATGTCAAATTAGATACTTTATCATAAACCTGAACTAGAGCACCACCGATTTATTTAAGAATAATTCCCCTAAAACTTTGGATATTTACAACTTAGGGCTCATTGCCAAATTTCTTTTGAGTAAATATTACTGACCGATATATTGGTTTAAGAAATATGGTCACTAGCATTAGTCGGGCTCTAGTCGGAATTTGTTGGAGATGAACACACATACATAGTTATGCTGTCAAGTTATTATGATCAACATAAACAAAAGTAGATTTTTGAGGACCGATGTTCTTATTTCATCCTTTATATGCAATACTATGCATCTCATGAACTGTATATCAATAGTCGATACAACAGAGATTATTCCCATACACAGTCTGTGTTGATATAATGAATCAATTGAATTTATTCAGATATGATTTGGGGATAAAGCACTCACTGCCATTATCTTGTGCTTTTCCTTTGTCTCCACCCAGTCATTGTACCGTCGATCTAGCTGTGTAGACCGGGTGGCCAATAATGGACGAGCACGGCATTCACCAGGCAGAACACATGACAACCATCGAGGCCAGCGCTGTCAGCCAACAGGTCCATCAGGTGAACTTTTGCCGAAATAATAAACTAGTGGAAACCAGTAAGAAAGATAGACGATCATGATTGAATAATTTTACCAGCCAGATAGATCAATAGACTGAACCATGAACCCTAACTCTTCAGTCTCAAATGAATCCTATGGTAGTTAGTTTAGAAATTGAAACCTATTTCAATTGGCTCTTTACTGTGCATAGGTACATGTGACCACTTACACTGAAACTTCCATGATGAGTGCTGAGGAGGACTCGACGTCCTCGCCAGATGACGATCCATACGATGACACAGATATCCTCAATTCGGCAGGCACCGATGAGATCACCGCACACCTAGCTGCTGCAGGTAAGTCTAGACACTACTTGATATATAGAAACTGAGCATTGGGCCTAAATCCAATGCTCAGGGAGCAGATGTGCACAAAAAACATCTAAGACGTCCTGATATTAGTGTAATGCTTTTAAATGAACAACAGGTGGAGCCAGTGTACTGTTTTATGGAGGCAGTGCCACTGTTTCAATGTTGCCTCCTGTCAAACTGTTGACAGTGGGTGTCAGGGCTGACTGATAGGTCAGTTTCAGTTTGGTTAATCTACTTTGTAAGCGATCACAGTTTGGGTTCAAATGGACCCTTTCACAATGTGAGACCACACGCAAAAGCTTTCTGGCAAAAAGCCTTGAAGGCTCCTGGCTATACGTTTTTGTCTGATTGCCTTTTTTGTGAGCCACAGTTGCAAATAAGATCCCTTTGAAACCCCAGTGTCATTATTTAAAAGCATATTTCAATAAGTGATCTAGAGAGGATAAGAGGAATAACAACTATAAAGTCCATGAATGTAAGATAACTGTTAAAACTGCACAGTTGCAGTGATGCACAACACACAGCTTTGCGGCCATTTAAATGAACCATCTGTAGTTCTACCAGTACACAAGCTTTCTACTTCTTCTTCCCAGGGCCAGTAGGCATGGCAGCCGCTGCTGCTGTGGCAACCGGCAAGAAAAGAAAGAGGCCTCACATCTTTGAATCCAACCCCTCCATCCGCAAGAGGCAGCAGACCCGTCTGCTCAGGTGAGCTTGGAAACAACTCTATCCCTCTTTTGTGTAAAACTGCTAAGATGCCAAATATGTCACTTTCAGCACCTGAGATCATTGTGCACTCTGTTGCTTTTATTCTGAAGCAGACAATAAATGGCGGTGTGTGTTTACAGGAAACTAAGAGCTACACTTGATGAGTATACCACCAGAGTGGGGCAGCAGGCCATAGTGCTGTGTATTTCTCCCTCCAAACCCAACCCAGTGTTCAAGGTGTTTGGCGCTGCTCCTCTGGAGAATGTGGTGAGTGTAAGAGTCTACAGAAGGTGGAGCGCATCTATCTGCTGTACAATTAAAACAGTTGAACAACCAAGCAACAATTAAATTACTTCAATATTCTACTGCATTATTGTGAAACATGTTTGTAAAGTAAGTAAAGTGATCACAAGGACACATCCTGCACTAACCTGCTGTGCCACAACTTTCCACCCTCCAGGTGAGGAAGTATAAGAGCATGATGTTGGAGGATCTGGAGAACGCTCTGGCTGAACACGCCCCTGCAGGTGGAGATCTGGCCTCAGAGCTGCCCCCCCTCACCATAGACGGCATCCCTGTGTCTGTGGATAAGATGACCCAGGTCAGGCTCCGTACTCTCTCATTTATTATCACTCAACCCACTAAGTAAACATCATCATATATGCCGCAGCGTACAAATGCTCCTCTATCTTTTGTCACCAGAGGGCATTAGTTGGAAACAAATCAGGTTGTTTTATGCACAATGTGAACAAGAACTTAACATCACGGTCAGACGCTTTTTTCTTGTTGTTTGCACATGTCCATCGTCACATAATGAGGTTTTTTTCATGTAATGTCATTCAACTGTACAGAATATTTGATGCATAGGTCTGACAACAAGCCATGCCGCCCTGTTTGTAGACACGATGTGGTAGTAGTAAGAGGAGCTGCAGTGCACGCTGCTCTTTGTAGGCCTTTCAGTTTCACTGCAACATTAGCAGCATTGGCAGCCTGAGTCCTCTCATCACCCGAGGGATCCCAGCTTGTTTACTCTGCCGTCCCAGTGCTGCTGACGCATTCTCTGGATCATCGTCAGAGTAGCCAACATGACAGTGGCCCTGGGAGACTTTCCTCAACCCTGGGAGCATGCTAGCCAATCCCAAGGCCGGATGAGTCCTCGGAGGGCAGGTTCTAGTTGCTGCTTGTTTTTCTGGAGGTTGTAGGATGAGATTATCATGAAGAACCTGTTGTCTCATTCAGCTTGACGAAGCCAGGTGGAATGGTGTGGGCGGGTGTTTATAGAGGTGCCATGTGTTGGAGACAGGATGTTGTCTCGCTCCTTTGGGAAAAGGCTGAGGAACCTTGGAAATGGCAAGCAGGGCAATGAGAGCAGGGCAATGAATGAGAGCTAATTCAAACTTAGTTCTCCTGCTCTGTATCGGGAAGACCATGTCTTTTCTGCAGACATGTGCAGTCGCTTTTGTGCAGCTGAAGAAAGCCCAGTGAGGTTTAGTGACGCAGGCAGAGGCCCTGACCGGTCCAATGTACGGAGCATCTGTAGCAGGTGATCCGAGGACTACCCTGAGCCCATAATTATCCCCTAGCCTTGTTAGGGCCAGGGACCCAGCCTCATAGCCGCCCTCCTAAATGCTCATTGGACCATTGCTCTGAGGATTAGGAGTGGGGTGGTGGGTGCCAGGACAACATGCCACTTAACTCACTATCCACTGTAATTAGGCCATCTGGCCTCGTGCACATGCATCCACATACATCCACACCAGCCACAGGTGGAAATGTAAAAACCTTTTGGCTACCAAGTCTAGTCTCTAATCTTTTTCCTATTGACCAACCATTTTCAATCAAGAGCCATTTTTTTTTTATTAACTCATTGTGTAACATACTGAGAAAGTGCGTACCTGTGGTTTGCAATTGTGAGTTAGAAAAGGAGTCTAAAGGGGGAGGAGGGAGGGATTTATTTCCTGTGGAAACAAATTTAGCCCGTAATGTCAAGGCAGGCAGACGCTGCAGTGCCTCATTGTGCAATATAATCCCTCAGTGATGCTTGCATATTACCAGGACACTGAGGACACCGGCACTAAAACCCACCCTATTCTGTCAGCGAGCGTGTGTGCCTGGTCTGGAAATGTTGACATGATGCTGAGTGAATATATGTGTGTGTGTGTGTGTGCCACTCACTTGTGCACCTATAGCGTGTAAGCTGGTCGATCAATAGCGAACGAATCAGATTAGCTCAAGACCACAAAAGACACATCGAAGCTAACATGATGCAAAAGCAAAACAAAATACGAGGTACATGGTCGACTCTCTGTGAGTCAGCTGCCTTCATTGAACCTACACTCTCTATTTTCCAGTTTCCAGTTCACTTGTCTCCTAGTTCATTGTGAATGGTGCCTTCAAATATAGTGGCTCAGCATTCAGTGATAAAGTCAGGTGCAGCCACAGTAATGAAATGATCATAAAGTGATCAAAGTTAATCTAATATTTGTTCAATATTGACCTGCTTGTCCTTATTAATACCTCCACTGAGTGTACTGAGACTTTGCGGGGACAGGTTGACTGCTGAAGTGTGTTGGATCACCCCTGGTGTCTGTCTCACACATCAGGCTGGAGCCACAGCCATAGATTGGTCTGTTAATAAACATGAGCACATTGTTCCCCTTTTAGAAAGCCTGTTTCTATTTGCAGACCCTGACCACCTCAGAACCCAGCAGCAGGTAGCCAATCAATAGCTGCCTCCTGCTGCCTGCTCAAGGGCGTGTGTGTGTGTGACACTACAGCTCTCCACTTGGTAGTTTTGGTTTCTGTATCATCTTTTTTCTCCTATCCATCTGTCCGCTGCTTCAGGCCCAGCTGCGAGCATTCATCCCAGAGATGCTGAAGTACTCTACAGGCCGAGGGAAGCCTGGCTGGGGTAAAGAGAGCTGCAAGCCAGTGTGGTGGCCTGAAGACATCCCCTGGGCCAACGTCCGCAGCGATGTCCGTACAGAGGAGCAGAAACAGAGGGTGAGACACAAACATTGATAACTTTGTGATTCTTAGTAGATCCCTGCAGGGAAACGGTGTTTCATTTGGAAAGTTGCTTTTAAAATATGTATTATCCTATTCTGTATCTGAAGACCTGGAATCTAGTCAACAATGAGTTACCTCAAAAAGTTGAAAATCTGGAATCTTGGCAGTCAATACCTGTAGTCTGAAAGTCACTCATATTTCGAATTATCCAGGTTTCTTGGACGCAGGCGTTGCGAACCATCGTGAAGAACTGCTACAAGCAGCACGGCCGTGAGGATCTGTTGTATGCGTTTGAAGACCATCAGGTAACCACGGTTACCACCACCCAGCACCACCTGGCCACAGCACAAAGTATCGCTCACCTTGTGCCCTCACAAACTGTGGTGCAGACCATCAACAACCCCGATGGAACAGTCTCGCTCATTCAGGTATATTTTCTCGTCGTCTGGTCGTTATGACCTCGAGGGGACACTTTTTCAAATCGTTACCATGTTCAGTTTATCTTAAAGTTAATTCACTTTCTGTATTTTGTGACTGCATCTCTCTCAGGTTGGCACAGGACACACAGTTGCCACTCTGGCAGATGCCTCGGAGCTGCCGGGTGTGACGGTGGCACAGGTTAACTACTCCACTGTGACAGATGGAGAGGTGACAGCCACAAACACAACTATTAATCAAAACATGCTTGTATCCTGATTGTATAAAATGCTCCTGAATAAACTAGAACCATTAATGACAAAAACTCTGACAGTGCTCTATGGGAGCTGTCCATTCAGCACCACAAAATCAAAACACAAATGTGTTCACCAGCAGTCATTTATCAACACATTATTCAAATATTTGTTGCATTATTTTTCTCCAGGTGGAGCAGAATTGGGCCACCCTCCATAGCGGGGAGATGACAATCCAAACCACTCAAGCGTCAGAGGCCACGCAGGCAGTAGCGTCCCTGGCTGAAGCTGCTGTCGCCGCCAGTCATGAGATGCAGCCTGGTGCCACCGTCACGATGGCTCTAAACAGGTGATGTTGAGAATTGAACATGAGAAAGTGATTTTATGGTTGTAGAATTAGAACATGGTGGGAAAGTTACAGGGGAGTTTTGGTGGAGAAGTGATTTGTTCAAATGTTTTTAGACCCCTCTCATGAATTATGAAGAGAACATTAGTCTAATAGTGGAACTGGTCATTTACATTACCCCTACCAGTTGGACTGTTGGCAGCAGAAAAGCAGAGTTGGCACCATAGAGCTCTCACTGCAAAACTGCAGAATTTAGTGTTTAGCATTCACTGATGCAACCCTCATGGGTTAGTCACTGATGTAGGAGCCAGCAAACACAGCAAACCATAAGAGGAATCCGCAATTGCACAGGCAGGTCAGGTCACTGGGGTCCCCTGCAGATGAGAGTGACTTATACTGGTTCAGCATCTAATTAATTAGCCTGTAGCCTTTATTGTAGGAGGGAGCGATGTGCATATATTAACCTGTGCTAATTCTACTAAGTAAATAACACCATTATATAAATATAGTAATAGATGATTCCACATAGTGTGACAAAGTCATTAAAGGTTTGAAATACAACCAGTCATAACCTGTTATTAAAATACAGTGTGCGTTGAGTGTACAGACTGATGTGATTATCTTAACTGCAGCCACTCTGTAATAAACCATGCACATGGGTTGTGTTGGACTGTTTTTCCATTTGGGAAATATGTTGCACACACTTGAATTCAGATGGGGCCTACAGCAGGATCTTAAAGTGTGTCCCACAGAGGACCGAGTTTGCAGGCTCTGGTTACAGCACAACAATACAGCAGCATAAAAATCTCAGTGAGATAAATAAACCCCTGCTGTAGCCTGGTTTAGGTGAAAACCTACAGAGCTGTAGCCGTAACCACTTCTGGATCCAAAGTTTTGATTTTCATGAATCTAAAAGGTCGTTAACTTGCCAAATTTATCCACGAGACTCATGGAGATACTGAGACGTTAGCTGGTTTTTCACTGCACTCGTGTCAAGACAATCATTTCACGTGTGTGGGTATGTCCCAGTGGGGCTTGTTACGTGCACCCACCTGAGTCCTCCCTCCTCTACCCTCAGCTCCCCTCCTGCTGTTTACCTGAGCTGAGCTGCCTTCTGCTCCACAGGCTCTGGAACATTTTGTCTCTGTTTTCCAGCTCCAGGTGGGAACATGGCCTCCTGTCGCTGTCGTTTCTGCTGTGTTGAGCAAAAAAATTGAAACAGTACAGACAAAATTAATCAGACATGGTCAACTGTCATTACTTTGATTATTAAATACACATTGATGTAAGGTTGTTGTTATATTTTTGAGAAAACATCAATGCCAAAATTGCCTGACTTAACTGCCTCCATCTTTTTGGCCGTCCCCACAGTGTAAATGCATCACTACTGTCTGTGCTCCTTCAGCTCCTCTTTCTTATCCGTCCATCTGTATTTCTATCTCAGATGTGATTATGAACCAAGCTGTGAACAGTTCCATTAGTTCATAACGAAGCTGGTGTGGTAATAGGCTCATGGTAAATCCACTGGAGAGATCTGGTTGATAAAACTGCTTTGTTAGACCTGTAGCACCTGGCGTTTAGGGAGATGTGACAGATTTCTCCATAAGTCCAGACTGGAAAAGCCTCTTACATCTCATACACTCCTACCTTTTCACCCCACATCTCAATAACCTTGCCTTTGTGAGCAGACTGAGTGTGTGAGCCCGTGTTAATGTTGTCTCTGCATTACTCATGTTGCAGGGACCTAACTGTTATATATTGCAGGGATTTGATTTTCATTTGGGGACATTGAGCAAGTCTTCATAGCTTTAAACAGCATTCAATTGTGTGTGCGCTACATATGTATATATGTATTTGTCCTTTTTAACACATTCTACACATTATCTGATGTACTGAATGTATGTGTGTGTGTCTTGCAGTGAGGCAGCGGCTCACGCTGTAGCGACTTTGGCAGAGGCCACTCTACAAGGTGGAGGGCAGATCGTCCTGGCAGAGACGGCAGCTGCTGTCGGGGCACTAGCTGGGGTTCAGGACGCCACAGGTACATATTTATCAATAATGTTATCATTAGCATTTCCATTTTCCAGCTAGTAAGCTTCTTCCTATCATTATATCTGTTTAGATTTTTTTTAATTAAGTCACATTAAAATTATCTACTTGTGGGTTTTTTTCGGCTTCTCGTGTTTTTTTAATTGGCACTTCCCCAGCCAATGGCATTTCTAATTAGTCTTACAAAGTGGAAACTTTCCTGTGCTGAGGCCTCTGAGCTCATACACTCTAAACTACTCTATGCTGATGTGACACAGACAGACACAGTGTTTTTTTTTGTTTTATCTGTAGCTGAGCTCCCTTCTTTTAATGTTATGTGATCTGCATGACCCTGTCGTCGTGACAGGATTGGAGCAGTTTGTAGCGACAGCTTCACACCCTTGTTGTAAACAATTAGCAGCCGTTCAAAGCATATGCTCAGTCAATATCAGTGGACTTTAGAGCAACTGCTTGTCAATCAGTAACATCAGGGGATACAATGCTAATCTTAACATTGATTACCACATGTAGTAAGTATGTAGTCAATAACGAGGGAATCATACTGCACATGATCATAAATATTTAGTTGAGACTGACGATGAAATACATTTTATATTGAGTAAATTTCGAGTGAAATTGATCCATTATAATGTAATTATTATTACATTTCATTTAGCTGTGTATTATAATATACAAGTTAGATTTAAGATGATATGATAGTATTAGCTTAGCATCTTGTCAATTCTTGTTCTTATTCATGATATCTTCTGACTTGGGCCATCCTACACGGGAATAAATACACACACGCACTTATACAAATTACACTAGTTCCAGGGGCATCAGCAGGCCCTCAGGGGCCCTCCTAAAGAGCTTTGACTCACTCCATTACCAGTCCATGGTCTAATCACTTGGCCAGCTGTCAGCACACAACCCCAGGTTCTCTTGCTCATCTATATACATGCACGTACATACACTATCATTATATATATTCATTTCGGCCTCTTCTAAATTCAGACAATATGTATATTTGTCTCTAGATCCTCCTCTGTCCATACACTGCTTTAGCATTATGAAAAGCACAGAACTGAAGCATGTTGTTTATATTAAATCATGAATCAGTCTTTTGTTTCACAGCTTTACAAGAGTTTGTTCAGAGTTCAGGCAAATCAGATTTGTTTCTCAAATCAAATCATCAGGACTGTGCAAATACAAAAATATTAACTGGGTGACAGTCAATATTTTGACTCAAATGTAAATTCAATTTATTCAAATCTAAGATCTGCACCTTTTGTTGTTTGACATCCTGCTTCCTAAGGGGTGATTTGGCTGCAATAGCTCACTTAAACAACTAATGGAGCTGCCAAAGCCAGTCCTTGCAAACTATTGACCTTAGCTAATCAGTGTAGTGCTGGACAGGAGTGGAGAGCACCGTTTGAAGTGTGCTGGCCCAGACACTGCTGATTGGCTTGTATAGCGACCCTTCACCAACACAGACATTCAGACCCACACACTCACCAATACGTACACACGGCTGCACCAAAGCATGGCCCTTAATGTCCTAGTAACCAAATTGGAGTGGCCAAGGGAGCCACTTCACTCAGTAGCCATACTGTGGTCTGTACGTCACAGTGCCAGGCCCATGCCCTGTTCCCCATAAGCCCTCCTCTGTAATCACTGCCAACACAATTACCTGCATCAGCACAACTTAACCCTGTCACAAATCACTGGCAAGTGGGCTTAGCAAGAGGACCAACACTTACCAACTTGACAAAAGGGACCGTATTTTAATTTGGGAGACCTTAAGATGAATAATAATGACAGTGCAGTTTTTAACCCTCAGATTAAATCTTTAAATATTGAAGGGACTATTTGAAATCAGGCCTGTGTCATGTCACATATGTATCTGAAAGGATTCATGTATAATTTGTGTTGGGTGCATTCGGTGTCCAGCCTCTTAGCTCACACTAATGGGAGCAGGCATGAGCCACTGCCAGTCCCTACACTGACCTTCTTGCCTGCCGGTGACACTGTGACAGCTTGTAGGGTGGGGCAGAGGCCCACGTGAATGCAGCAATAATCCCTACAGGCAAAGCCACACACACAGCTGGGAATGGGGGGAAGCTAGCTAAGGACGTTCAATCAGACCATTGTTCAGAAACATGGCTGCCTCCTATCACAGACAATTTTATAGAGTGGAGTAAAGACTAACAAAGAGAAGAGATTAGTAGTATTTATTAGTACTGGGGGTGTATATATCTCTTTATTGATTTTTAATTGACTATGTTAGTCTGTATAATATCATAAAAAGCAAAGGCACATTTTTTTTACCATTTTCCAGATCCTAAGGTGGTGTCTACAAATTTCTTCTTTTGTTCACCATCCAAAAGACGAGCCTGGCATTTTACCTGACTTCAATGATTAACTCATTATTTCCAATCGTTGGACATAATTGTAATACAATATAACTGATTTCTGCATGTTCAGGTCATTGGGTTTGATTAAGATTTCCTTCCACAAAATAAAACACCATCTCACAGTTCATTTAGTTATCAGTTCATTTGTTGATTATGAAGTTGATTATTTTATCTATTAAACATCAGAAATGGTGGTAATCGTGACTGTCAAAATGTCCAAATGACTTATTTTGCCAGATCAACATAATAACATTTAAATGAAGCCAAAACAGAGAAAGCAATAAATATCAACATTAGTCAACAACAAACTATTTCAAATAATCAAAGTTGTGGTCAATTAGCATGGTGTGTGTTTGTGTGTCTAAATCCAACATGTCCCACCTCTCTTCCTCAGGTTTGGTCCAGATCCCAGTCAGCATGTATCAGACTGTAGTGACCAGCCTTGCACAGGGTAACCGGCCTGTCCAGGTTGCCATGGCACCTGTTGCCACACGCATAGACAACACTGTCACTCTGGACGGCCAGGCAGTAGAGGTTGTGACCCTGGAGCAGTGACACTTGGAACCCTGGAAGGAGCAGAAGGCACTGATTGACCACCTTGGGGATTTGTCTGTCCTACTGCCCGTTGTTAATTATGTAAAGACTTGATTTTTCGGTGTAATATTTTTTCCCCCATTTAGCTTCTTTTTTTTTTTTTTTAGCTCTGTGATGTTGAGTATTTAGTATTTATTTCTATCAATTAACCTTTACTTAAAACAAAGATGAACCAAAAAGCCCGGAAGGAAAGCCACCACTGCTTCAGTGTGTTACCTATCACTGTTACGGATTTTCTACATTGTCTCTGTGCTTGAATGTTTTGTTTTAAGGTTGCATTTACAATTCAGTGAAGTCAAGCAACCACTGCTTCCCACATCCTTTATCACTGCTAACTTTCACTCTTTCCAACTCGGTTCCCTTAAACCTCTGAGCTGCAGACACTCCCCCGACGTTTTCCTCACATTAGATGGTAAATTATGTTGAAACACCATATTGTCATATGCTTTTCCCCTGTGCTGTTTTTACTGTGGTCCATGCACATTCTAAGATTTGTGAAGACTCAGGATACACATCAAGTTTTTTTTCTTTTTCTGCTGAGCTGACTTCTCGCAGCAGCCATTTTGACAACCCAATCCATTTATTGTCAGTGCATGGATAGGATCATCCCTTTGAATGTTATTTTTTTAACATGAACTTCTTTGTATGTCACTTAGGACTCGGTGGTCAACATCACTTTGTATATGACAGGAAGTTGGTTATACTTGGACAGGAAATGCAGTCTTTGAAATGCAAATATCAAAAATCTTGCAACAAAAAAATTGCTTGCAAAGAATCTGCTTATTTTGATGCAGCTGTGACAATTGGTTCCACTCTCACCAAACATGTGTATTTAAAGAAATAAAGTCCAATTGACTGACTGCTGTTTACCACTCATACTGTGTCTGTCTTGGTTATTAATACACTGTTCACCCTACAATTTATTCATTAATGAACTATTAAAGCAAGTTTTGTCATTTTAACAGGGTTTGGTAGTAACAGATTACATATAATAAGGATTAACTGATCAGTAGAGCGCATACCTCTGCTGAGGCCCAAAAATCTCCTTAAATTCACACATTGATTCTAGTTCACTATCTCACAATGATAAACAAAAATAAAAACACAAATCCCGGATTTGCCAGTTTGACCAGATCCATGCCAACATGTATTGGTTCTTTCCTGGTCCACGAACCATCCAACCAAACTTTGTGGATATCTCTATAATCCTGCTGTTAAAGCAAAAGGGCAGGGCTGAAAAGATAAACTGGGCCGAGGTGAAATTACCTTTGCTAACATGACCCCTTGAACAACACCTCCTTTTATCAAGCTCACTTTCATTTAAAGTTACACAGTAAAAACGCAATGCTACATTACAAATACTGCTTTTTTTGCAACAAAGAGACATCATGTCATTTTAATTTGTACACAGATGTTGATATCAACACATTTCTTGCCAAATGACACTAATAAAGGGTCTATATAAAGGCCATACATGTTGTGTTTCTTTCAACACAACTACTCTGTTTAGAGTTGTAACACAAAATAAATGTTGGATCTTAACCATAGACTGTATATAAAGAGGATCTTAACAAAGCAATTCTATCAAATATATCACAACAATGTGTGGTCCTTGAACAGACACATTATTGCATTAAAAGTGTCTTTCTATAAGTGTCTGCTTATTTAAATATTTTGATATTTAAATAAGCAGACACTCAACTGCAGATAATGGGAAATATTTGATGTACAACTTAATTTACAATCATAGTTATGTTACGTCATGTGTCTGTGTGGAGTTCGTGAACCTTCATGCAGATCTCTGACATCTAGGAACAAGGGTGTTCTTCTTTGTTGCCTCCATATGCTGGGAAATAGAAAAAATATAATTCAGTTGTATTTCACTACGGGAAAATAACATGGAAACTGTTAGCCTCTTGGTAACAGCTGATGCTGATCAAACAATGCAAGCTATATTGGCAGCTGGCATAGAGCTGGCTAGCTAAGTCAACAACCCATTCCAGCAAAATAGCCATTAGCCCCAGTCTGAACATACAAACTAAACAATGGCCGAAGTTGTTGAACTTTAACTTTAACTTGACCGTTTGACTGTGAGGAAAACAAAATGGAGGGACGCTGGGCGCTACCTAGCCTAGCATGGTAACATACTTTATACCCTGCACACGCTAAGCTAGCAGGGTAACATAGACTCTATACACGCTAAGCTAGCAGGGTAACAAACACTCACTGACTTTACCTGTGTTGCTTGTGTTGCTTGAGGATCAGTCTCATTCATTCTGTCACAACATTAGCTTGTTAGCTTGTCAGCTGCTGGGAACCGACAGCTGTCATCACAAGCTAACTTACGAAGCTAAGAGTCATTAGCGCTTCTTTCTCACGCACTGTCCAGGTCCTGGTCCAGGCTCAGCTGACAAATGGCTTTTAATTTGAGCTTTTTATTGTGGACATTTACCTCTGGTCCATCGCTGTGTGGGCGTCAGTCGATTTTTCCAGAGGTCGTTTCCCATATTAGAGATTTTGAAGTGATTGATCAATGGCTCCTGTTGAGCGTCCAATCATTGTTAGTTGAAAACAACACAGTACGTGTCTGCTTGGCTTCAATAACATAAACATGATATCAGCTGACAAAAGATTTCTATTGAAAGTGTATTAATGCACAGAAAGTCTGTAAAGTGTATGATCATGTATTCAGAAAACTGTGTGTTCATCCTACCCTGTTTATCTGCAGTGAAGAGTTTATAGTTTGTTTACAGTTTTTCAAAGTAAAAGTTCTGCAATTTAACAGATATAATGCATTTCAGCAATTACGAACAATTTTACTCTGTTGATAAATTGCTAAAGAGGGAGCGATTCTATAAATGTTGCTGCCATCATGGAGATTTATATGAAAATCTGTGTCAGTCCAATATGGTGAAATAAATATTAGTAATAATAATATTAGTTTCTGGCCCCTGCACTCCATTCACAGACTGAAGGAGCACTGCCCCGCCCCCCACTGACTGCTACAGAGCACTGGTTTCCTGTTTGTAATATTTTTATTGATATTGAACATATCGCAGAAAATTTGACACTGCACTTCCTGGGGTCATAACAATACACGTGCCAAGTGTGGAGCCGATAACATGAAAGGTTCTCCAGATATTCGTTCCACATACAGACAGATGTTCGTGAAATTAGTGGGTAGATATTGAGCAGTAAAAACAAAATTGATGGTGTAACAGTTTATAAAGAAAACATAATAAGTCATGACTTTTACGACAGATACACTCTGATAACCATATATATCCTTTTTTTTCTGAGCAATGCATTGCCACAAAACCCGATAAACCCGACACTCGCCTGCAGCTCCCCCACCTTCCCTCGCTGCCGTGACCGACGAGGCCATGATTACATCATAAGCTGCCCAAACCTCTTCTGCTTTAAAGCCTGGGATTTGCCAGCAGGGCCCTTCTGTTGCAGAGTAGGCTGGAGAGAGAGGGAAGCGTTCAGGCCTTAATCTATCAGGCGTCAGTGTATATCCCGTTCTTCCTCCAGATTAAATCTGAAGCAGGTTGCATTTACTACACATGGAAATTATCCCATTTCTCCTTCTTGTTTTAGGTTAATTCTCCTTCTTGCCATCATAAGGGTGGAGTCATTGTGAGCACTGCATCGTGTGGGACGAGAGAAAACATCCTAGGTGTGTGGCACACATGCACATCAAAGTCACTGCAGATTAAGGAGGCCTTATTAGCATCCTTTCTTGGAAAAATGCTAACTATAGCCTCACCGACCTCTCTGTCTGTGTCTGCATTGAAAAAGAAGTGACACTACTTGTTTCAAAGTGACATTGTTCTCTCCATCCACTGTGTCTTAATGGTAAAATGTTAACACGCCCGTCCTTTAGTTAAATTAATACATTTAAATGAATGGATATTTACGTGTTTAAATTTTAATCAGCTTTTTGTTAGCAGTGAAAAATTAAACACGTATTATCTTAAAATAAGCCCTAAAATATATGAAAACAGTGCAGACTCTGCTTCTCATTTGATTATTTCTTTTTATATAGTGTTTTGGGATCAAAATGAAGAAGAATCTTTTTCCTGTGTCTTTAAAAGATCCAGCGCTAGTAAAATGATTGACATGGCTCATGATTCTGCGCATCTTGGCCGAGATGAGGGAGATATAGGGACTGACTTGTCACTGACTTGATGAATCGTTCACCAAGTTTGTGTTTTTGTTCAAATCCACAACAATCATTGCAATAAATTGAAATTGTTATTCTTCAACATACCATAAATGACCCTCATCAAGGTCATTGTATCACTAATGCTAAATACACTGTAGGTTTTCTCTTTTATAACATTCTTTAGGGCTATGACAATATTAATATTTGTTGGTCAATCACAACGCTCGCACTAGCTGCTTTCTCGGCCTCAGATGTTTTACGAGGAAGGAGCCACTGCTGCATTGCGTGTGACAAGTTACATCATCGTGCAGTGCACTCTTCCGCCATGTCCATCAACTGACTTTGAACCTGATTGGATGTCATGAAAAACATCCAATCTGGGCAGTTGGGCTGCGGAGTGAGTGTCTGCACTCTGCACAGGGGGCAATAGGGTTAGTGGTGGAGGATCACAGGGCAGAGGAGAGGCAGCGCTATTGATCCTCCTCAGTCGGTGGAAGAGGCTGCAGCCAGGGCTCCACAGGGGGCACTGCGGGGGTGTGGAGGGAGGGGTTGGTCAGTCTTGTTGCCTTAGAGTCGTGCAGGCAGACTCCAGAGCAAAGCTTTAATCTCCACTAATCGTTTCTTAATACGTGCATCCCGGGCCCTACACCCCCACACGCATTTACACACACAGACACACTGCCACATGGGCACGCACACATAGGCACAGACCGCTTGCTGCTGCCCAAGCCCCCACTTGCTCTAATAAGACATAATCTCCCACCCCTCATCCCGAGCATAGGGTTAGACCACAACTTGAGAACCCATCCCTATGATACAAGGAGACGCACCCTGTAACCTGCAAGACTAAAATCACGTTTCTCAAAGATGAATATTTGTCAACCATGCAGAAAAATACATTCCTGCTGCTGCTTCTACTGGCTGGAGATGGAAGCAGCTCTTATCTGTGGATATAAATTGGAAGAAAAGTGGAATTGCTGTAACACGATACAACAAAATCAATCTCAATATACATCCGGGCCTCGTGCAGACTGTCCAGTGAAGCCTGGGCATCAGCAGACATGTTGCTGATGAGGCGTCTTCCCCCATCTGATAGTGTAATAATGGAATCCTCACCTTCCCAACTCACACCTCTGTCCACCTCCAGCCCAGACACTGCGTAAGAACGATGATAATCTCATTTCACTAATGCTCTGCAGCCTGCATTAGAACACAGGCGAAGCACTGTCTCAGCCCAAATCTACCCAACCCAGGGAACTCTGCGTCTCTGTGTGTGTGTAGGTGAGGGAGAGAGATGGAGAAAGGGGCCAGGGGGGCTGTGGGATAGAAGGGTGCACTGAAAAATGTGGTGTAACCTGAGCCGCTCAGCCCATCTGGAGAAGGCCTCACACTGACAAGACTTTTCCCACAATGCTGCAGAGAAGAAGGTTAGAGGGAGTCTGACACAATGGAGCAGTCTTTTGAAAGTATTTATTTGCATCACAGATAAAGGAAGAAAAAACACAATATGACTTTCAGGGGAAAACGAAGAGCAGATGCACACACATACTGAGAACATGTCACACGCTATACATGTCGTACTGTATGTGCATATGTTCTGTAACATGAGACGCAGCCACGGTTAACCTGAATCAGTTGTCCAGTGAATAACAGCTCTTTATGTCAACTAGTCTGTGTATCACCACAATCTTACAAACTTACCTGCTCTCCCGACTTGCAAAAAAGCAAAAACAGCCTCCTCATGGGTCCGAAGACAACGTCCACCATGTAGCTCAAACATAGCCGGCCTGCGGGCATACTGGTAACAATACAAATCATATTAGCTAAAGCTGAAGTGTAGGCTATAAAGCAGGATTTGTACAAAGGCAGATGAAGAGATTTTAATCCCCAGATCCCCCTGTCACCTACATTAGCAGACCCTGACCCAGATATGTGCAGCTCAGGCTGGAGCAGCTTTTTGAACCATATATTGTCTATGGGCTGCTCCAGCGGAACAAACCAACATCTCGCAGTAATCAGGCTTTTTTTGTCGTTTGTGAAGGGAGGAGGGGAAAGGGTCGCATTGAAAGAGAAGGGGTAAGATGACACCGCACAGTTTGGCAATTGTGCCGCGGAGCTAAGAGAGGAACCCCTGGATGGTTGTAGCTGAGCGGCCAGACATGAAGTCGAGCACAGGGGCCGTCGTACTGCACAGCTACTCTCGTATGACCTGACAGCGCTTGTCAAACATTATCAGCATGGAGGAAACCGCAAACCAGATTTAATACATGTAGAGATGCAACCAATGATTATCTTCATACTTATCTTCATACTTTATTTTTTGTTTTTTCAAATACAACAGTAATTATTCTGTTCTCAGAGTCAGGAGATGCCAATCAGAAATCCAAAAAAGCCAGATCTGACCTCCTCGAGGTTTTCCAACAAAAGAAAATATCAAGCGAATAATCAATTAAAAAAAATTCACAGGTTTGGTCTCATTTGGAGACAGAATGAATATGGTCGACAAGCGTTATTGTTTGAGCAAGTATTGTACAGAGCAAATATTTTAGGATGCGCTGACAGACGTCTTTGCATTGATCGCATTGCAAACTGTTGTTTCAAGAAACACTTATATTGATTTTGGATCCAAATTTCTGCTGGAACATTACCCATCCTCCTCATCCTACAAGTATTTTAAAATATGTTACAGACACCTGATATAGCAATTGAGACGTACTCTTGTAACTGAGTTATCAACCCTTTTCCACTTAAATTGTGCAGATAAGCCTTTTTTTTAACTCCTCAGCATCATTTGATAGATAGATTATGTTTTTACTATGGATTCCACTCATCAGCGTAAATTGATTTATTGATAATCCAATATTTCTATGTCGTGTCCCGTCTATGTCATGACCTTTATGTCCCTCACAGTGTCACTGGAGTTTTGAGGCCGGGGTGCGCAGGGTGAGGAACAAGATTCTCACCCCACCCTTCACCACCGTCAGCCACTCACTCATTCACTCGCTGGCTAAAATGTTCCTTAAGACATTTCTCTTCTTGGGACCGGAGGGGAGTCTAGCTTCGTCCACTGTGTCGACGCTCTCAGGCAGTAGTTGGCAAGTCTAGAACCACCGGATCCATCTACCTCACCAGTGTGAGTTCTACCATTGCCAAACACCACCAGAGAGCTGCCGGGCCTTGTCGGACCCTCGAGAGCCAGAAACATGGTTCATCAGGACGTGGATCCGGTCAGATTGATAAAATGAACCCACAAAGATGAGATGGCATGAATCTTAATTTAAAAAGCTCAGCAAATGGGTCAGCCTTTAATAAACAGAAAAA